CACTCAACCCTGGTGGTATCAGGACGGAGCTTAGCCGCCATTATGATTCCTTTTCCAAAATGATAGGCGTGCGTTATCACGTATCATCCAACCTTCCAAAAGCTAACCGGTTGATATTTGCAGAACATGCTCTTCCATGATATATCATTTGGGCCACTCACGCAGTTGTATGCTGGAACCACTGCAGAAGGAGCGAATCTTAACGGAAAGGTTAGCCCCTTGTCTTCCGACTGAACTCGAACTTATATTCTTGCCAGTATCTTGTTCCATGGGCGCGCATTGGGAACACGCATCCGGAGGGGCAGGATCCACAGCAAGCTTCAGAGCTATGGAACTGGCTTGAGGAACAAGTCAAGGACGTTTAGTTTCGATTGATTCTCATGATCGTGTCAGTATTATATGGTTGCATAATTGCCTTTAACGTTTCAACACAACGTACAAAACTTTATCAAAGCCAAAGTGATGTTCAAATGAACGACAACGAACTTCACCAGCGTTCCCACAAATCGCAGTCAGCAACCATGACCTTGATTCATTGAGCGGAGGAACCCCGATGTAATCAACGTTAACCTGAACGCTCTCACCTGTCTGCGTGACCTTGCTGCACGACTTCACCCACAGCCGAACTGTTACCGCACTAGTATTATGTAAGCATTTTTGACTGTGCATGTGATTCGTGATCCTTTGTATATACGCGACGTCTAAGAGAAGATGAGAGAGATAGAAAATAATATTCATTAGTTCGAGTCTGTGAGAGGAGTAGTCGTTGTTGAGGGAGAGACGTCTGAGGAGAGGTGTGAGTAAAACTTAGTGAATGAATATTACTTTCGATGAAGCCAGATGATACACGGTGTGTTGAGATCTAAGATAAACGAATCAATGGGAGGTTGCTTAGTTTAATTCGTTTTGTGTGTGGGAGGGTCTGGCTTTGCCGGACCAGTGCGTGAAGGCAGGGGTCTGGGCGAAGCGCGTGAATCCCGCGAAGTCCGAAATAAAGCAGCTTGTGCTCGGAGAGTATTTGGGATTGACGGAGACAAACCCTCGGAGCGTGTTGAGTCCGAAAAGTGCGTAGACCGGAGGGTCCGAAAGGAAACACTGATCCAGACCAAAACTAGGAGAAGCTCACAACGGAAAGTGGGTCCTGAAGGACCCAAACCCACACACTTAGAGCTGATCAACAATATGTTAGCAAGAATGTGACAAATGATATTCATGAGACGCCCGTAAGGTAAGCTTGATGGACAGGTAAAGATTACGTAGATGGGGCAACGCGAGAAAGATGGTGGCGACGAGCGAAAGAGTCCATGACCCGATCAATCTCCAGCAGATGCTCGGTGTTTGCTGAAGAAGCGATGAAGAGCGGCAATATGGTATCTATACGACGCCAATACTCAAGAAAAGCGTCCGAGGACCATCTGCCTTGAGTAGACACGATGTCTGGGTGGACACCTTGCAGCAGTAGCTCCGTAGCTCCTCCGATTCGAAAGGCGTGTCCCGGTAGATCTGGGAAGCCTTGTGCCGTCCAAATGGTGTTACAGCGCGCGAGGAAAGCAGTGCGCGTCATGGGAGACCACCCGGAAGAGTCGCAATACGAAAAGAGAGGAGAGCGTGAGGGCAGGTTCTGATTGATGCGAAAATGCCGCTCAAGCGCAGTGAGAGGGCAGGTACGATGTGCACGCGAGGTGACCGAGATGTCTGCACCACGTTCCTGTGTAGTCTTCGACCAAGGAATGTGAAGTACTGTGGCACGAACATCTTCGCGTACTGTGAGAATGGTAAGTGGGAGAATGGTCCGTGTGACGTGCTTGAGAGGATCGGCCACATTAGGACTGGGAATGACGAGTTCCCCCAATCTAATTAGTGGATAGATGTTCTGAGTGGGAAAGATGAGAGAGTGATGACGATGGTGTGCATACCGACAGCAACACCAGAAAGAGACGAGTGCGACAGCACAAACTGCGACGTCAAAAGAATCGGAGAGATCAAGATGATCATGAAGGATGCAGAGTGCATCTATGGTGACCGGGGGTCTTTTGGCCCGACGAGAGGAGGGAGGGACCATTTTGGAAAAGCCGCGCCTGGTATGATGAAGCAATTGAGATCCATGCCATCGGGCACCATTGATGACATGCCAGAACTGTAGACCTGCCAACCAATTGTTGAGCGTCTTCTCGGAAGTTGTGCCTGCAAAGGCAGCCGCGAATTGGGAGAGTAGAGCCTCGGCCGCTGGCATGCGCTCGGCTTCAGGTATGTTGATGGAGTCGCAAAATTGAGTGTACCGCAAGAGTCCCGCGCCGTAATTGCTGCGGGTATTGGTATCAAGAGATCTGACCATAACCTGTGTGATAGTCAGATGGTGATGAGGATGAGTGCGGACGCAAGAAGGCGTACTTGAAAAAGACGAAAGAGAGATGAATCTGGGTACTTCTGCTCCAAGACAGATTGCCAATCCTGCCCAGCAGGAGTGGACCACAGCAGAAGACGATCGCTGGCAAGAACAGATGGGCGGTGCTCAGAAGGAGCGATGCTGGAACTGGGACGCGGTGCACGAGGGGTACGAGGCCGAGATTGCTGCAAAGATTGAGAGACTGATGTGCGTATGGTGGATGGTGGATGGGCGGCCCAGAAAGAGGCTGCTGCTGCGTCGGCGTCGACGCCTTGCATGACGCGACGATAGAGTTCACTTTCCTTCATCCTGGAAGTAAGAGGAGATTTCGGAAGGGAGAGAAGGAGGAGATGCGAGATGCAACGATGCTGAGGGAAATATACCACGGGAAATGGGATCCGCGAGGTTGAATGCTGTGTTGACGTACACAAGGGAAAGAGATAAGCGAGATTCTCGCATGAGTGCCTCTGAGCGGCGAATCGCTAGATTGATCATGTAATTAGAGCAGCGCCCTTTGCGAAAGGCAGCAATGACACCTTGATTGTCACTGCGGATCAATACATCAGTGTCCGAGATGCCCTTGGTGTGAATGAGCCGAACTGCAAGTTCGATGGCCGAAGCCTCAAGCCATCCTATGTCACGGGAAGGGCTGCGCCAGTCTTCAGTCGTGCGCCAGAAAGCCCAACGTCCGTTCCAGAGAAGGCCGATGCCCATTCCTGTTGAAGCGTCCACCCAGATACCATAGTCTCTGGTGGGGGGGAGAGGCGATATGTCTAGAGGCGATGGGGTCTCTACCAGCAAGGCAAGCCACCATTTGAGATCCGATTTGGTGGAACGACTGAGATATCTGGGAGCGAAGTCGTTGGTGCCATAAGCAGCGATGTCTGAGTATATATTGGTGAGGTAAGAGCGGCCGTGTGGATAGACGAAGGCCGAGTGAACAAGGAAGCCTGCTATGCGTTGGAGCTCTCGCTTCGGCACTTGTGAATCTAGGAAGAGAGCGAGAAAATGAGATAGACGAGCGATGTACTTGAGGCGCTTGCACTCAAGGAGAACTACTGTTTTGTGGGGGACATCCCAGTCAAAACCGACGTAGATACCAGTGTCTCTGAAGGGTTGTCCCTTCTTTTCGTGCCACGGGACTTTGGCAGGGGAGATGAGCGATTTGGCCTGGGCAAGGTCGTAGTCGTATCTATATACTTCGCCCTTTGAGATGCCCAAGAAGAGACCATGCGCCGATGGGAAGCGAAAGATAGAGACGTCGTCAACCCATTTCTTTGAAGGTTTGACATCAAGAGCCCGCCAGATTTGAACCGTCGCATCGGCGACTTTGCCCTGTAGACCTGCAGCTGAGGCTAAGCCAAAGGGGATATTGTGATCTATGTATAATTTACCCTCATGGTAAACGACTAAGTAACGCTTGTGCTCTGGCGCGCATGGAATGCCACGATAGGCGGCCTCGATATCCAACGTTGCGAATTGGGCTCCTGGCGGAGCATGACGGATTATATCTGCGAATTCCGCAGCTGTACCCCATTCAGTGGGGTAATCTTCGGCGTCAATCTCATCATTGACAGAATGTTCCATTGAACCGGCGTATGAGAGGTGACGACAAACTCTATATTTGTCTGGGGTGCCGTCTAGACCCTTTTTGACAACGACTTGCAAAGGGGAGGAGCGAAAATGACCGATCTTTGCGAACAGCTCGTCGTGAGAGTATGGACCCGAATACCGACCTTTCGCAAGTTCCTCTGCGACGTACTCGTCGCAGACTTCCTTGAAGATCTCAGCTCCGGGCAGATTGCGGGGAGTATAGGAGCTGGTGAGAGGCGAGAGGTTGTGGCCTATGGGAAAGCCGTTGCGAAGTTTGTAAGTGAGCTCTGGGAACTGGTGCGTAAGGTTGGTACGTTCAAGAAGAGCATCAAAGCCGTTGGCCGAATATGGCGTATTAATGAGAGAATAGTCGGGGTCATGATCGAAAGGCGAGTGGACATGTTGCAAGTTGTCAAAATATATGTGACGTGGGGGTGGGGGCGAGGCATGCGAGCGATCTGCAATGTGTATCAAGAAGTAATCCTCATCGGCGGGATCCAAGAAACACGTCTCATCGGTAGCATCAGAGACAGACGCGTGACAGAGCGCTGTGCTCTGTGCGTCCACAGAAGGAGCAAAGGTGTTGGTCGGAATGATCCCGTTTGCAGGGTCGTCGAGGATTATTGAGGTTGAAAGTGACGCAGAGCTGTGAGCCGTTAGATCGTTTGCATAAGTTGCCGGAAGAATACTTCGAGAAAGTTTGTGATCCTTTCTGCGACGTCTCTTGAGTGCAGTCGGAGAAGCGATGGCCTGTGCGTCCACAGATAATGCACATGGGATCAGTAGGCTTGGCTGATTTTCCGTCGCGAAAGGATTGACTGTCTGCCTCGGAGGGTTTCTTGGCATGTCGTTTGGAGTCTTTGTCGTATGGTTCAAATCGTGAGGAGGATGCGTGAGCGTTGCGATCAGGGGCGGAGGTGCGTGCGAGTTGTTCTTGGGCACGAAACATGAATTCTTGCATGGTGTCATACTTCTTCTTAGTGAGACGGTGGTTCCATTCTGATTCGCAGTGCTGATGGGGACGAAGAGCATAGTTTTGACGTGTCTCGACGTCGAACTCGATGATGGCTCTGAAGTTCTTACGCACTGCCTCGTCCTTGGATAGTGTGGTAAAGTGAGTGGTCCAGCGTTTGAGAGAGGATGCGTCACCAATGTCTTCTATCCAGGTAAGATAGCGTTGGTATGCTTCCTGCCAGGACAGGGGGTCCAGGTCTAGTTCGTTCTCAAACTGGGAGAGGTCGAGAAGATGATGAGAAACGCCGTTAACGTGTACCTTTGAGCGTTTGAGTGAATGACCTTCACGATGCAAGCGCTCCATGTTCTGATTGGTGAAGAGGGTAAGAGGGCAGTATTGACCTGAGCCGGAGGGAAGTTCTTTTGATGAATCGAAGAGAACCTTCGAGACGGCTGTCACGTTGGGTCTGGCCGTGGACTTAGGCATGATGGTCTCCAGGACCGCTGAGCCTTGTGCTTGAGAAGTCGGGGAGAGTTGATTGAAGGCTGATATCCACTGCTGTATCGCAGTACCAGAAGGTTTGGGCGGGATGGGAATGAGTAGTTCATCTGCAGGAACGTTAATTTCGCCAGCATCTCTGCGCACTTGAAGAGAGATATTGTTAGCGTGACGACGTATGTTCTCTGCTACCATTTGGTCATAAGTCATTTGCATGCCCGAAGGTATAGCCGAGGTTGCGACGTTAGGAGGAGGCATCGACGATGTATTGCCTGTTGTGGAGGCTGAAGGAACTGCCGAAACAGAAGCAGACGTAGACGTAACGTTAGTGGAGGTCATTACGAAAGTGATTGTTTAGCGAGGATTTGCGGGGTCGCTTGTTGAAGAGTGCGAAAAATGAGAGAGCGACCGGCAAAAGAAGATGGGCGCAGAGAAGGAGAAGAGAATGCGGCGCCGATTCTCAGATCAAGTCCTTTTGACTGTGGTGAGCTCTGATGTGTGCTTCAGTAGGATAGAAGCACGTCAAACGCGAATCTTCATGTGACTGCTTACAAAGGCCATGTTTCGTGCGTCAACGCTCGCAGGCTCGCGATCCGCTTGAAACGGCCACCTCTTTGGGTCAGCCTTCTGACGCCGCCGCTAGCTCCGTCTGCATTTCCAAGTTCCTTGTAGTTCGGCTAGATCTTGCACCTCCGGACCCATCAATATCGCACCATCGTCGAACGGTAGTTCGGCATTGCTATCATCGACATGAATTGTCGATGCATTGTGGCATCGGCCCCGGCTACTACCCAATGACATTATGAGCATGACGTAGTGAGTATAAAATTATTCATGTAATACACGCCCGGGCCATTTTGATGTTGCGTTCTGTTATAGGAGTGCCGCATATGGGAACAGTCTCGGCACTGCATACGCGTCAAAAGGCTTGCATTAACACGACAAAAGCTTCACTTTCCTTGAATTCCACCACTTTTCGAAAATCCTTCCTTCATCATGGGTCACATCTGGTCAGCGTACATTCGCGAGATTTTTCCTCCCTCAACGAAGTTTCATGCGTCTGACGTCCCAGACATGTCCGGAAAGGTTGTTCTCGTCACCGGTGCTAATACAGGGATAGGCAAGGAGACCGCCAGAGTCTGTCTCCATTGACGTGTTTCAAATATTTGCTTCATGTTGATGTTGTTATTGTCAGGTCCTCCTCACAAAAAACGCCAAGGTTTATATTGCTTGTCGCGACAAGGCCAAGGGTGAAGCTGCTATTCGCGAACTAAAGGAGAGCACCGGAAAAGAAGCGTGTTTCTTGCAACTCAACTTAGCGAACTTGAAGTCCGTCAAGGTTTCTGGAGAAGAGTTTTTGCAGTACGCTTGCATTGCATCTGTCGAGCAACAAGACAACTGACACTCTTTCAGGAGAGAACCTGTGCTGCACGTCCTATTCAACAATGCGTGAGTGTTGCTTAACTTTGTCATTTCTTCGTCCTCTCACATCGCTCAGTGGGGTAATGACACCTCCTAAAGAGATGTTGACGGACGACGGTTATGATCTGCAATTTGGGACGAATGTCCTTGGTCACTTCTACTTCACGAAAATTGTTATGCCTGCACTTCTAGCGGGTGTCGCGCAGTCGCCTGCCGGAACTGTACGTATTGTGAACACGGCTTCTAACGCCCACTGGGCGGGTAGTCTGGACTACAACACGTTCAGGGACTCTCCCGCCAGGAAACAGAAGAGCACCATGAGTCTCTACGGTCAAAGCAAAATGGTAAGCTTTGTTTCCATTGTATCAACCCCTTTTCTAAATTCCTGTGTAAAAAGGGAAACATTTTATTTGCAGCTGAGGTAGCTAGACGATACGGTGACCAGGGTATAGTCTCGATAGCACTCAACCCTGGTGGTATCAGGACGGAGCTTAGCCGCCATTATGACATCTTTTCCAAACTGATGAGCGTACGTTGTCACGTATCATCCAACCTTCCAAAAGCTAACCGTTCGATATTTTGCAGGATATATTATTCCATGATGTATCATTTGGCGCGCTCACGCAGTTATACGCTGGAACTACTGCAGAAGGAGCGAATCTTAACGGAAAGGTTAGTAGCCCCTTGTCTCCTGACTGAACTCGAACTTATGTCCTGGACAGTATCTCATTCCTTGGGCGCGCATCGGGAACACACATCCGGAGGGGCAGGATCCACAGCAGGCTTCAGAGCTATGGAACTGGCTTGAGGAACAAGTGAAGGACCTTTAGCTTCGATTGATTCTTATGATCGTGTCAGTATTATATGGTTGCATAATTCCCTTCAACGTTTAACACAAAGCCTAGGGGTATATTGGTTTATGTATTCATCGTTTGGTCGGGGTCGATATTCATGCTGGAGGCAGTCACTCAATCTTGAGTCGAGTGTTCTATTTCATGACAAATGAATTTTCTTATTCTCGAGGACGTGGTGAAAAGGAAAACTTCACCAGCGCACATTGAGCATCATGACTGCATCAGTCAACACTGGGCTTGTGAAGGTACTGCGTGTGCCGACTTCGACTGGTGTGATCTGCATTATCGATATATAAGATTGGCAATTGCAAGCCTGCAGCCACTAACAAGAATAAAATCTAGCCAAGCGAGTGCTGTATCTCATAAACCTAATTAGTCTACTATGAAAATGGAAGCGAGCAGCTGCGCCGTGAGTCCGTGACTCGGAGTCCACCAATGTCACTGCAATACACCGGTTCGTCGACGTTCTACACCGAACTAGCTGAAATTCCCCTTCCTGTATCCGCTGATTTCATTGGCGACAGTCGAGTTGCACGGGTCACATATTCCGTTCGCGATCATGACCGAAACATCAAACGATACCTCACGAAGACGTTCGACAATCAGTGCACGACTTCTCATGATTCCCCTGAAATAAAAGCATTCACGACATCTCCTTCTAAATCTCGTCAAGCGATCCTGAGAGAAGTAGCTAATAGCAAACGATTCGTCGAGATCTGGGCTGGCACCCAACTAGAAGCTTCATTGGACGTGTCAAATTACCACCAAGCTTTCCTCACAGATGGTGAGCAGAACAAAACAAATGCGAATGGTAGCTAATCGAATACCAGATTTCCTATACTCTCTCTCTTTCTCCCCCTCCGAAACTTCTCTCTTATACACCGCCGAAGCATCCATCAACACTGATGACGATCCATACAACAAATTCAGATACACACCCCACTTTGGTGATACCTGCCGCGCAAAGAAACGTCCTACCATCTTTCTATTCAGCTGGACTAGATCGCCCTCCTTCACGAGGGCAGCTAAACAGGACTCGACCCTTTTCGCACTTCAGCCTATAACTGAATCACCCATCCTGTTCGCCCAAGCCACATTCGCGACAGAAGACACAATCTTCGCAACCGGTCACGAACAAACCAAAGACGGCCGTATCCTGGGCGCAAAAGGATGCTTTAACCGCCCCATGGGCATATGGCAACTCACTCTCTCAAAGGACTCGCTCGGATCCCCATCCGCATCAAGACTCACTCCCAAAAACAGATCCTGCCGATCCCCTCGGGTCTTATTCGATAACAACCAGCCCATCAAACTTTTCTGGTTCTCAAACCCCTTAGGCGGCCCTCATGCATCCTGCGTCTCTCTTGAATCCCGCGATCTCCTCACAGGCGCCAACACTGTCATCGTACGCACCGTATTCGAACCTACCCCGTCGAATGACTTTCCTGGCCTCTACACCGAGTACAACATGCCAACCAGCCCATTTCTGCGGCGCGGAGATAGCATACACATCGTTCTCCAGTCCATGTGGCGCTCACGCACAACCGTCCTCTTCATCGATACACGATCAGGAGAGATCACAGACGCGACGAAATTAGGCGACGGACCGTTGTACAGCTGGACTGTACACGCTACTGATAACAAGAGTCGGTTTATTTGTTCGAGGAGTACGCCTACTACCCCTTGGGAGGTCTTATTAGGATCTTTCGATCAACATGATACCCTCGAATGGAAAGTCCTCGATAAATCGTTGTTGTCTTCTACGAGTAGGTCTGATCCAAATCTCATTCGTCTCGCTCGCTCACTCGTTCCCAGTCAAAGAAGCCCTGAACGACCTAACGCCATCCATCATAGCCATCACCGCCCGCGCACCAGTGGAAACACTTTTCATCCAATCTAAGAAGGCTTCTACCTGTGGTGGCCCGAAACCAGTGTGCGTCACTATCCTGCATGGAGGACCCCATGCGACCTCGACGACTTCATTTTTTCCGGCCGTCGTCGCATTAGCGCTCGAGGGATGTGCGTCCCTCTCTCTTATCAGACATAACTTGCGAACTACAATTCTCGATCACTCACTCACACCACAGACACCCTCAACATTCCCAACTACGCAGGCTCGATGGGATTCGGCCAAAGATACATCCAAAAGCTCCTCGGACACTGCGGGAGCATGGACGTCGAAGATGTCGCCGAAAGCGTCAGGGAACTGATCAGAAGGGGCGTTTCAGAGGAAGGAAGACAAGCCGTGATGGGGGGAAGTCATGGCGGGTTTATCGCTGCTCATCGTAAGTCCCCTTTTCTCTAAAACGAGTTTTTTCCATTCACACTCTGCATACACTCTTCGATGACGCTGATGCTCACTTTCGCATGCGCATACAGTGATAGGCCAGCACCCAACCCTATTCAACGCAGCATCGCTCCGCAACCCCGTCATCTCAGCAGGCGAATTCGCAACGGGGACTGATATTCCTGATTGGGTTTATTCTGAATTCGGGGTTTCGTCCACCGATTCTGACTCTGACTCCTACACGTCACCCACATCCAACCTCCTCACTTCACCCACACCTACACTCCCGCTAATGACTCCAAAAACATACAACACCCTCTTCACCGCATCCCCAATCGCGCACGTTGACAATATAACAGCACCAGTGCTTATATTAATAGGCGAGGATGATTTGAGGGTCGTTCCGGGGCAGGGGATCGGGTTTTATCACGCGATCAAGGGGAGAGGTGAGGTTCGGACTGGGACAGAGAAGGAAACCACGAAAGGGACAGTAGAGGTGTTGTCCTTTCCCGGAGAGTCGCATGGGATCGATGGAGTTGAAGCTGCGAGGGTTTCATTTGAGGCTACGAGGGATTGGTTCAAGGCTTTTGGGGAGGGCGGTTAGTGTATACGGGAAAGTGAGAGATTTTGTTATATCCTTGACCGACTATGTCGACCGTCCAAGTTTGAACATGGTCCAATTCTCAATTCATTCCTTTCAGATCAAACACGTCCAAGTGGACACACGATTTGGCGTCGTCTGTCAGCTCCCTTGATCTTATGAATGAAGAGTAGTGAATCCCTGCTGTATGTGAAATCATAGGAGCTAACGTGCCACGCTCGACTTTCTCGCCGTGCCGCATCATAGAATCCGAAATCACTCATGCCCCTCAGTCGACCCAGACCCTAGTATCAGCAGCAACTTCAGGACAAAACCTTTCGTTCACGCAAAGGACAGCCAGCCGGTCGACGGGAAATGAGACTACCGGTTGTGGTTCTCTGTAGATTATGGACAGAAAAAGTTCAATCAATTCCTAAACGATCCGGAGGACAATACAATCTAGTCTTAAGGTTAATGTCAGATCTACGAAGAAAGATGGTTGCGTCATACCTAATACCAATCATACTTCGAAAATACTTCGGGCCTTACTGCGGGCCGGGAAGTACTTGGAAGTTCTTCCTGCACCCTCTTAACGTTCTTGACGTGGGTTCGAAGGCTGAAGGGAGGAAAAGAAAATTGGATGTGTAGCTACTTCTATCCCTATGATAAATAAAATATCAAAGGAATGATCGTGCATGCATGAACCCGCGCAGCTTGATCTGCGTCTCAGGCCGACGTTCTCCAAACATGTATACACCATACCAGACAAAGCATCATATTGCGTGATCATGCAACTGTTTCGAACAATTCCACACACTGCATCCACCTCAATAGACCATTCAATGAACCCACATTCCCAGCCAAAACACCTCATCTGAACCGGAACGCTGTATTGCATTGCCCAACGTTAAGGTCTCGCTGAAGACAAGTAGATCAGCAAGATTGTTGCCACAACATGACGTTGAAACATACGCAGGCAATGATTTAAACTGATTTCAAGAATAGTCTTCATTAACTCCGCCTGCGCCTTCGCTTTCGCCTGCGCCTGCGCCTGAGAGTCCAAAGATTCTTTTGCCTTCCTCTGCAAACGTTTAAACGGTAACTTCGCCATAAAAGCATTCAAGTTTCCGTGAGATGTGTAGACAGCAGCCCTCATACGTTCTTCATATGCCTGTACGGCAGCGCTCACACCTTCCCTGACAGCAGCAGCATGCTGAGATGCCATGTACTGCTCAAGAGCGACATAAAAAGAAGGAGCAGGCTGTTGCTGGTCCTGAATATAGTTTCGCTTGTCCCAAATGCAGAAAGAGTGCTCGAAGACAATGACAACAGCTGAATGATCAATGATTAGCAGGTTCATCCATCACAACGCAACCTCAAAATTCACCAGAACCGAGCTGAACAATGTTCTCCAAGCGTGATGAGTCAGAGGCCTAGCACATTCGCAACATCAGAATTGCATGTACAATCAGAGACCAATTGGACATACCGTAGAGAGTAACCTAGACCGCATCTCTGCACATTGACTCCGATCAAGCTGGTCAAATCATGATGTAAAGTTAAAAATCGACCACATCCGCTGCGGATCGATACACTCACATACTGCCAATGCGGAACATCTTCGGTCAGCATGGCCCGAAGTCAAAGAAAAATAAAGAGACTAACTTCCTATAGATAAATCAGCAATGTCGTTCGCGAACAAGGCTCGGATCAAAACACTCACATGCTGTTAAGGGATGTACGGTTTCAGTCGTACGAAAAGCTCGAGCTGGACGAAGAATGAGCACACTGACTTGCTGTCGGTGGATGAGCAAAGTCATCAGTGGGGAAGGTCAGTGATGCTCCAATTCGACTGAGGGTCGATGTGCTTACATCCTGTGAATGGACGGGCGATGTCTTCAGTCAGTACAGTTTAAGCTCGACAGTGGACAGACAAACTCACAATCTATTGATGGAGCATCAATGTGTTCGGTCAGTATGGCGCGAGGGCGACAGAGAATCGGTAGACTCACACCCTGACAAAACTTCACCGATTGCATCAATGAGGAAGACGGGATGTACGCAGAAAATGATCATACTCACGAGCTGTCAACGGATCGACGTTTTCTTCGGTCAGTGGCTCAAGGTCGGTAGAGGGTGAATGTACTGACCTCCTGCCGATGGTGCATCAATAGCTTTTGTGAGGACTTGAACTTGACAAATGATCAATGCACTGACTCTCTATCAACGGATGCACATACTGCGAATGGTGGGCAACGACTTGGATCAGCATGGCTCTTGCTCGAACGAGGATCGACACACTCACTTCCTGCGAACGGTAGCCAACAACTTGGATCAGCATGGCTCTTGCTCGAACGAGGATCGACACACTCACTCTCTGCGAAGGGTGGGCAACGACTTGGATCAGCATGGCTCTTGCTCGAACGAGGATCGACACACGTACTACCTATAAGAAATGCGCAACATAAATTAGAGCGACCTTCAAACTTTCCGATAATCTTACAATAATATGTGGAAACCAGGCACCTGATGCCCCTACCATCATCTCCCAATCCTCGGATGTCGTTGTCTCAGCAAAGTCCAGATGTTTCATGAGTGATCTGGGCAATATCAGTCGCTAATGCTCGAGGCAGGTAATGAGATCATGTGTAGTTACTTCTCAAATGCATATTTCATGCAGATCTCCAAGTTGGTCTTCTGAGTCGAGACGAATAATTGCTGAAGTGTTTCATTATCCAGAGTTCCCGCCGTTTGTTCGATGAGTGGCCCACAATCTGCATCGTCCCTGTCCATGTCTAATAGACCAACGTTAAAATGGATCAGACTCATAAGTCGACGATCAACAGCTTACTAGGGAGGCATATGTGGCATTTCGGAGGGCGTCGAATCTCCTTGGAGTGGTATAGAAACTTCAGTTGTGACCCAATCGCAAATGACTCTTCTGCGTGCTTCGGCGCCCGTTCTTCAGCTTCCTCCATCGATGCTCCCTGCGATTTCAGCTGGGCATATGATTCGTCGTAGAGTGCATCAAATTTTGTGAACAGTACTATTACTGGAACTGAGGATTGTGATTCTGCGCATCAGTCGAATATGAACAACGGTCGGATGCGAAAGCTTACTGTTTCCAGTATCGCATTGAGAGAAAAACTTGATTTCACCTGAGGTGAACGACCTACTCGCCACGTCCATGGGGATGCAATACCTGTGTTCTAACCGTGAGGCCGCGTCGCGATTGATCAGCTGTAATTACCAGATAGCGTGGAGTTGATTTCTTAATCTGGTTTCCTTAGAACGGTCTGCGATGAAAGCCTTCACCTGGTCAAATTCGGATTCGCCACCTGCTTCGAACCCGCGAGAGTCATGAAAGATGAAACCCGGATTGCTTTGAAACACCATTTCATTCTCGATGTTGTGCAATCCGCGCTGAGATCGTGTTAGTTCAGGTTACCATTTATTGAAAGTACACAGCACCTCTGTAGAAGCCATCAAGACCCTGGCATCAATCTGAAGTCCATCGCTCAGTCATGACTACGATCCTCCTACTAGCATCGTGCTGCCTACCTTTTTACCGGCGCCGTTATATATTTCTGGATTCTCTCGTGTGTTACAGACTCTCTGTAAAAGGGTAGTTTTTCCTGCATTGGCTCTTCCTATAACGAGGATTCGAAAGCGACCGATTTTCTTTCTTATCTCTGAAGGATCCATGGGGGAAGGTAAATGTGACGGAGACTCGGAAGCATTGAGGTAGCCTTATAATCACTGCAGTGTGCGAACTCGGTAGATTCTGCCCGAGTTGAAAATGATCTAGATTCAGTGGGCAATGGGTATAGTAACTGCGTGCCACATGAGGCATACACGAGGAGTCAGATGTCGAAGTGATTTTGATCATTCGGAAGTGGCGGAATATCTGTGTTGGGTCAGAAGGATCCGTAAGAGTGGGCAACGCGAAGACCGTCTCTTATACTAAGCGCCTGAGTACTAGCCATCGATCGAGGTAATCAGTAAGACTGCGAGTCATTGGCGCAAACCTGAATGTATTAAAACATGGTAGGAGCGTAAGCTTTGGTGGGAACACGCCAGGAAGCTACCCTGCTAAACTTTATTTACGATGGTGTTGTGTGTAGTCCTCTTAGTAATCAAACAAAGTCTCGAGTCTGATTCGTTTCTATCAAGATGATTTATATTGTTTGACAATACGTACGATGCATTAATGTAAATAAAATAAGATTGCATATGGCGCCTGATGAATACAGTGAAAAGAAATCGAACTGGCCCGGGAAAGACGATCGCTGAAGTGCTCAAGACCCAACACGCTTCATTTAACAATAACAATTCGGAGCCTCAGGGTGAAGGATAGCGTCGGTAAACATTTCAGAAAACCAGACGATATGAAGAATCGTTCCCAAATCAAGAGAGTGAAAGAACAATTGGCAAGAGCCGTTGGAAGGGTGATATACTAAAAGAACCGGTCGAGCGCGAGTAGCGTCATGGTAATCATAAACTGGATGAATGGAAAGATAGACTGCAGTGACTTCAAAAGTTTCATGAACCATGCAGGCATGGATGCCAGTATCGCACGTAGACGTTGAGCCTTATACTTGGGGAGGCGACGAGGGCCATAAGGAGGTGGCGGCTTCAGAGTGAGCGTGTGCTGGCGCATCAGGATCTTGCCCAAAACGATGAGGAATGCGACGCAGAAACTCAGTGAGCTGCCGACAAAGAAGAGTCCGCACGAGAGCTTATGACGTAGTGAAGGCGTTTGGGAATCGTGCGTAGGGACACCATCGTTGACAGGGGAATCTAGTCCTGGCGCGTTGAACCAAATTGACCCGGTAAGGAAAGCCTAGAGTTGATGAATAGAACCATGCATCAGATGATGCAACAATACTGCTGACGACGTGAACTCACTGCATACAGTGTCCGGTTGAGATCAACAATAAGTATCTCAAGAGCAGCTTCGTTGGGATTTAATAGCTCTTCCTCTTCCGATTCTGGAATCAGTCCCTTGACCTTTTCCATGTCGCAAGATTCATGAGAAGGATTACGCTTGAGAGCACTTCGAGTGGAGAAATCTTCAGAACGATACGGCTGAAACAAACGGATAATGGGCTTGCCTATCATTCATTTCTGTAAGAAGGCGTTACAGAAAACTCTCTCTGCAACGTAGATGGCGTTATATGTGCTTGACTGAAGAAAAGTACAGTACAGGGTGCCGAGCAACCTGCAGTGCGACCTATTTTGCATTATGTTCAACGCTCAGCGTACCAAACACAAACGCAGCTTTTCCCAAAATAGTGTTAGTAATACCGCAATAGACGCTGGTCACGCGCATGAGCCTAATCCCGCGTATCAGCTTCCCAAATCAGTACTTCCTATGAACTTTCCCAAAATACTCCGACGAAGGAATACCTCGTGTAGTATTTTACACAGAATCAACAAGCTCCCTTGCATTTTCGCACAAGTATAAGTACAGGAATCCTGTGGTATGTGCAGAAACACGTCGTGATCCATATGCAAACACTGAAAATCAACTTAAGTCCAACTTTCTCAACATCCACACTGACAACGACTCGGATGCTCGGCGAACGACAATTGGCAGTCAACAGTCCTCCAAATACAGCGGAGACGAATGTTGAGTGAGAAGTTGGAGAGTTCATGATTGACCAAGGGAGGGACGAAACTGAACAGCAACTGGTATGGTATAGTCTTTTTCTACTAGTCTTTTTCTACGCATATACACCATTTTATCATTAGTTTATAGGATGGTCATACTCGATAATCGACCTCATTCGACGGAGGCAATTTACTATGCTGTCAAGAACTTCGATCCCCATGTAGTGCGCAAACCTGTGCTGTGCAACCGCCTGAAGACCATAAAGGTGAGAGAGCGTTTGTTTTCAAACTCGATGCTCACCAGTAATGCTCTATCAGTGTATTCCTTGAGACTCGCCCCAACATGGTATGACAACGTCAAGTTTATGCACTGTGTTGTTTGGTTTTTGTCAGCGCTCATCATGATGAGAATTCACTGGCACTGTCGACGTTCGCCATGCTCGAGCGTATCAATTGACGAGTACTCATCTACATACTCGTGCTGTGGAATATAATGGTGTATACCAACATCTAGATCGCCCGGGTTCCTGATGGACGACTCTGACAAGTTACCCGGCGGTTTGCCTACAGAAGACGAGCCTCACTCACGAGCATTGCTCGCCTTGGACAGCCTTTCGGTCGGTCCACTTTTTCTAGCGCAGTAGCACGTCAGAGAATACAAGAGGATCGCGTTGGACCATGAGATCACAAGTCAAAGACATAACTTTCGCTGACACATGGACGTCGGAACCGTAGAGATGTGACAGGTTCATGCTGCTGCACGAAACAAGCCGGTTTACATAGTCGAATTCTTGCTCGCAAGTATTGCATTTGATGTTTCACCGTGAACAGCCCTTTAATGCACTTTTGCTATCGCGGCAGCGCAACGAAGAATTCAAGAGGATCGCATCGAATCATGATATCATTCAGTTTAAAGGCGAGCTATACACGCGATGGATGTCAGGACATAGTTTGGAATAGCTCGAGTGAACTGGTTTTCCAAATCCACCTGCAATTACGGTTGATGAGATCGAGCATGTACTGCTCAGACTGAAGATTCTTAAACATTGCTGGGAAGACTCACCCTGAAAAACCGAGAGACACCATCTGGTTGGAGAGATAATATGCTGCGAGGCTAAATTTTGTAAAATGCTAGCTCATGCTAGATCTGACGGTGCATTCAAGTTGCACGAAAGACACGACACCCGGCGAAACCCAGAGGCAGATCAGGTATAGCTGCTGCTGCTTACCATCACTCCCTCACCAAGCCAGGGTCAGCCCATGCTACTCGAGTCTCGGTCTGCAAGTAACTTAGGGAATGTGTTGCAAAGACCGTGATGCGAGGTACGCATCTACTGGAGTAAACATTGATCGGACTTCCAAATCGGTCGCGACAAATCTAAGGCCCCAAGCTATCGTGCGTAGACTCATAACCAGCCTCATATTCTGTTCAACGTTTTTTTGAGATGAGTCGTGATTTCTGTTATAGGCACGACTCGAGTATATACGCTGGCGCAGGCTGGTCACGAGTTTAAATTTATCGTGCACCATATCTCATCGATCATCGACCAAATTCTTGTTTATTCCTGGTTATTCGCTTTTCATCATGCATGTCTTCTGAGAAGGCCAACCAATGTCACTACAATATACCGGTTCGTCGATGTTCTACATGTACATATCCGGTGAGAGTCTGAACATGGTCTAATTCGAAAATCTCATTTCTTTCAGATCAAACACGTTTTTGGATATTTGGAATAGCGCGATCTGGTGTCGTTTGATATCATATTTGCCCTGTCAGCTCCCTTAATCTCATGCATCACGGGTGATGAATCCCTGTTATGTGTGATATCATGGGAGCTAACAACGTGTAACGCTCGACCTTCACAGGAACATCATCCGGAGAACTGGCTGGAGGACCGGGAAAAAGATAAATCACAGCAATTCTACCCTTCTCGCCGTACCGCATCATAGAATCTGAAATCCCAATAAGTACTCACCCAGTCGACCCACACCCTGGTATCACCAGCAGCTTCAAGACAACATGTTTCGTTCACGCAAAGGACAAACAGCCTGTCGACGGGAAATGAGACTACCGGTTGTGATAGCATACTTGGTGAAAGAAGGACTTCCGAGTCCAAGTCCCGGCCCGCAGTAACAGTGCTAGCAGAGCTCACAGAACGCACAGTTTCACATGTTGTCGGATTACACAGTCATGCACAGTGGACACCTCTTACCCTTAGGCCGGCCTTATCCGCTGAGCGATGACTCGTAGCCCTATACAGCTATCACCAGCGCTACGACGAAATAGAGTTTTTCCTGATGCGAGTTATCCCAAGTTGTTTCACTGCCGCTCTTTGGAAGAGTTCTCACCCGTTAAACGTTCTTGACGTGGGTCCGGAGGGAGGAAAAGACAATTGGTTGTGCAGTATATATCGCTATGATCAATAAAATATCAAAGGAATGGTCATGAACTCGTGCAGTTTGATCTGCGACGATTCTGCGTCTACGGTGACCGACATTCTCCAAACACGTATGTGCCATACCGAACAAAGTGTCGCCGACGTCGTACTGCGTAATCATGCAACCATTGCATACAATTCCACGTCCTGAATCTACCTAAACAGAGGAAATCCACATTCACTGCCAGCACACCTCAGCTCCACTCCGAACCGGAACATGGTGTTGCATCGCCCAACATCAAGGTCTCGCTGAAGACAAGTAGATCAGCGGGATTGCCACAGGATGATCGTGAAACATACGCAGGCGATTATTTAAAGCGATTTCGAGAGTAGTCTTGATTAACTCCGCCTTCGCCTGAGAGCACAAAAATTCTGTCTCCCTCTGCTGAGAGCATTCAAAAGCTTCTCTTGCCTTCCTTCGGAGGCGTCGAAACAGTAATTTCGCCATCCAAGCAGGCGATTTTCCTTGATATGTGTAGACAAAAGCCTTCACAGCTTCTTCATATGCGTGGGCGGCAGTAGCCACAGCTTCTTCATATGCCTGGACAGCAGCGCTCACACTTTCCCTGACAGCAGCTGCATGCTGAGATGCCATGTACTTCTTCAGAGCGACATGAAAACAAGGAGCTAGCTGGTCTGCAAGAAAGCGTCGCTTGTCGAAAATGTGGAAAGAGTGTTCGAAGATAACGAGAACAGCTACGTGATCAATGATAAGCAGGTCCATCGCAACGCAGCCTCAAAATTCACCAGAACAGAGCTGAACAATGTTCTCCAAGGGTGATGAGTCAGAGGGCTGGCACATTTGCAACATCAGAATTGCATGTACAATCAGTGACCAATTGGACATACCTTAGAGAGTAACCTAGACCGCATCCGTGCACAATGACTCCGATCAAGCTGGTCAAATCATGATGGAAAGTTGAAAATAGACCACCTCTGCTGAGGATCGATACACTCACACGCTGCCAATGCGTAACATCTTCGGTCAGCATGGCCCGAAGTCAAAGAAGAATAAAGAGACTAACTTCCTATTGATGAATCAGCGATGTCGTTTGCGAATAAGGCTCGGATCAAAACACTCACATACTATTAAGGGATGTATGATTTCAGTTGTAAGAAAAGCTCAAGCTCGACAGAGGATCAGCACACTGACATTCTGTCGGTGGATGAGCAATGTCATCGGCGAAGAAGGTCAGTGATGCCCCAATTCGACTGCGGGTCGATGTACTTACATCCTGTGAATGGATGGGGGATGTCTTCAGTCACCATGGCTCAAGCTCGACAGTGGATAGACCAACTCACAACCTATTAATGGAGCAGCAGTGTGTTCGGTCAGTATGGCACAAGGGCGACGGAGAATTGGTAGACTCACACCCTGGCAAAAGTTAACCGATTGCATCAATGATAGGCAGAAGATGATCACACTCACAAGCTGTGGACAGATCGACGATTTCTTCGGTCAGTGACTCGAGGTCGGTAGAGGGTCAATGTACTGACCTCCTGCCGATAGAGCATCAATAGTTTTGGTCAGGAATGCTTGAATTTGACAAAGGGTCGTCACACTCACCCACTGCGAACAGTGGGCAACGACTTCGATCAACATGGCTCGAAATCGAACAAGGATCGACACACTCACACACTGCGAACAGTAGGCAACGACTTGGATCAGCATGGCACGAGCTCGAACAAAGATCGACACTCACACCCTGCGAACAGTCGGCAACGACTTCGATCAACATAGCTCCTGCTCGAACGAAGATCGACACACTCACATCCTGCAGAAGGTGGGCAACGAGTTGGATCAGCATGGCTCTTGCTCGAACGAGGATGGACACACTCACACCCTGCGAACAGTGGGCAACGAGTTGGATCAGCATGGCTCTTGCTCGAACGAGGATGGACACACTCACACACTGCGAAAAGTGGGCAACGAGGTGGATCAGCATGGCTCTTGCTCGAACGAGGATGGACACACTCACACCCTGCGAACAGTGGGCAACCACATGGATCAACATGGCACGAGCTCGAACGAGGATGGACACACTCACAACCTGCGAACAGTGTGCAACGACTTGGATCAGCATGGCATGAGCTCGAACGAGGATCGACACACTCACATCCTGCGAACATTGGGCAACGACTTGGATCAGCATGGCTCCTGCTCGAACGAGGATCGACACACTCACATCCTGCGGAAGGTGGGCAATAACTTCAATCAGCATGGCACGAGCTCGAACAAGGATAGACACACTCACATCCTGCGGAAGGTGGGCAACCACCTCAATCAGCATGGCTCGAGTTCCAACGAGGATAGAGATGGACACACTCACGTACTGCGAACGGCGGGCAACGACTTCGATCAACATGGCTCTTGCTCGAATAAGGATCGACACACTCACAGCCTGCGAATGGTGTGCAACGACTTGAATCAGCATGGCTCAAACTCAAACAAGGATCGACACACTCACATACTGCGAACAGTGCGCAACGACTTGGATCAGCATGGCACAAGCTCGAACGAGGATCGACACACTCACGGCCTGCAAACAGTGGACAACGACTTGGATCAGCATGGCTCTTGCTCGAACGAGGATCGACACACTCACAGCCTGCGAACAGTGGTAACGACTTGGATCAGCATGGCTCTTGCTCAAACAAGGATAGACACACTCACAGCCTGCGAACGGTGGGCAACGACTTCGATCAGCATGGCCCGAGCTCGAACGAGGATGGACACACTCACACCCTGCGAACAGTGGGCAACCACTTGGATCAGCATGGCTCTTGCTCAAATGAGGATCGACACACTCACAGCCTGCGAACAGGGGCAACAACTTCGATTAGCATAGCTCGAGTTCCAACGAGGATAGAGATAGACACACTCACATACTGCGCACAGTGGGCAACGACTTCGATCAGCATGGCTCTTGCTCGAATAAGAATCGACACACTCACAGCCTGCGAACGGTGGGCAACGACTTCGATCAGCATGGCTCTTGCTCGAATGAGAATCGACACACTCACCCACTGCGGACAGTGCGCAACGACTTGGATCAGCATGGCTCGAGCTCCAACGAGGATCGACACACTCACACCCTGCGAACGAATTGGATCAGCATGGCTCTTGTTCGAACGAGGATAGACACTCACATCCTGCGGAAGGTGGGCAACGACTTAGATCAGCATGGCCCTTGCTCGAACGAGGGTCGACACACTCACATCCTGCGAACAGTGGGCAACGACTTGGATCAGCATGGCTCGAGCTCCAACGAGGATCGATACACGTACTGACTGTAAGTAAACACGCAACGTAATGAGAGCAACTTTCAAATTTTCCGATGATCTTACCAAAATATGCGGAAACCAAGCACCTGATACCCCTACCATGTTCTCATAATCCTCGGATGTTGTTGTCTCAGCAAAGTCCATATGTTTCAGGAGTGATCTGCACAATATCAATCGCTAACGCTCATAGCAGGTAAATGAGATCATGGGTAGTCACATCTCAACTGCATATTTCATGCAGAGCTCCAAGTTGGTCAGCTGAGTCGAGACGAATAATTGCTTGAGCACTTCATTATCCAGAGTTTCTGCCGTTCGTTTGATAAGTGGCCCGCAATCTGCATCGTCTCTGTCCATGTCTAATAGATCATCGTCAAAATGTATCAGACTCATGAGTCGACGATCAAAAACTTACTAGGGAGGCATATGTGGCATTTTGGAGGGCGTCGAATCTCCTTGGGGTCGTATAGAAATTTCAGTTGTGGCCCAATCACAAATAACTCTTCTGCGTGCTTCGGCGCTAGCTCTGCAGCGACCTTCATCGATGCCCCCTTTGATTTCAGCTGGACGTATGCTTCGTCATAGAGTGCATCAAATTTTGTGAACAATACTATTACTGGAACTAAGGAGTGTGATTGTGCGCATCAGTCGAATATCAACGACGGTCGAGTGCGAAAGCTTACTGTTTCCAGTATCGCATTGAGAGAAGAATTTGATTTCCCCTTGGGTGAACGCCCTACACGCCTCATCCATTGGGATGCAATACCTATGTTAAACCGTGAGGTCACCCGCGTCACGATTGATCAGGTGCAATTACCAGATAGCGTGGAGTTGATGTGATAATCTGACTTCCTTAGAACGGTCTGCGATGAATGCCTTGACCATTTTAAATTCAGATTCGCCGCCTGCTTCAAACCCGCGAGAATCATGAAACCTGAAACCCGGGTTGCTTTTAAATACCATTTCATTCTCAATGTTGTGCAATCCGCGCTGAGATCGTGTCAGTTCAGATTACCATTTACTGAAAGTACACGACACCTCTCTGGAAGCCTTCAAGACTGTGTCGTCAATCTGAAGTTCATCGGTTAGCCATCACTACCATCCTCCTACTAGCATCGTGATGCCTACCTTTTCCCCAGCGCTGTTATATATCTCTGGATTCTCCCGTGTGCTACAGACTCTCTGTAGGATGGTAGTTTTGCCTGCATTAGCTCTTCCTATCACGAGGATTCGAAAGCGACCAATTCTCTCTCGTATCTGTGAAGGATCCATGGGAGAAGGTAAATGTGATGGAGACTCGGAAGCGTTGGGGTAGCCTTTTAATATTATCATTAATGCAGTGTGCGAACTCGGTGGATTCTGCCCGATGTGAAATCAGCATCTAGATGATCTAGATACGCAGCTGCATGCCACATGAGGCATACACGAGAAGTCAGATCTAGTCAGATGTCGAAGTGATTTTGATCATTCGGAAGTGACGGAATATCTGTGTTGGGTCACAAGGATCCGTATAAGAGTGGGCAACGCGAAGACCCGGCCGGGTTTCTTATACTAAGCGCCTGAGTACGAGCCACAGTAAGATTGCGCGTCCGTGAATATATTAAAACATGCTAGGAACGTAAGCTACCGTGACGGTAGGAACCAGGACCTTGTTTGCTTTTGTTGACGTTGTGTTGACGTGCTGTTATTTTAGCGGAAAGAGCTTTGGTTGTTTCACGCTATGCGTCCTATTCAACTTGCTGACATCGACGGTGATAACAAGTGGATCACAAGAACGGTGCGATGATGCTCTACCAGTGTTACTATGAGCGTTGATTGCAGCTCCAGCGCTGAAATTTCAACTTCCGCGAACGTACAAATCCAATTGCAAGGAATGACAAGACCTCGAAAACCTCGTCAGCTGCAAATTTACCTCTGAGTGGTAGCAACAGCGGCGATTAATCAACTTTCTGGCACTCGCCAACGCTAACGATGATTCATCTGCACGCAAGGCGTCACCTAAAATCAACCTACACTGGCTCGGGTTGTTCATCACCTATCTCTTTGCTTGTCTAGAATACCCGTCATCTAGCTCTCAAGTCAAGTCTCATCAGTACATGCGGCTGTGTGTGCCCTCTACTATGCCAAACTTCACTCGTCCATGGTCTTGCCCACCGCAGTATGGAGCATTGTATTGCTCGTATCTTATCGGCTGATTTATTGTCAGGTGTTCCAAAACACGAGCCCGTGCCGGTACACCACCTCACTCACTTTGCACTTGATGGCGACTTAGACATCTCGTCCGTTTTGAAGCTGAACGAGCTTTAACAAAACGTAAAAAACATATCTCCTTCATTTTTTTCGATATGATTTTGCTCATGTCTCTTTATCCTGTGTCGTCTTTCTTAGTCACTAGATTTATTTGTATTGCTAAATCACATTCCGTCCTATGCATATGCTATAGACGGGATAAGGCTAAATAAGCACTCCATCATTTTCCTACTGCGACTGGGCAAAAGCAGGAAGTGGCAGGAGGGCCTCGGGAGGTCACGCTCTGGCGTGAGGGTCGGAGGCAGCACCGGGCTTCATGAAATTGGGAGTGAGGTGTGGTAGCCTGGTAGGCAGACTCGGACGCGCGATGGGCCGATGGCGTATTACACGCACGTACGCGCTGAGGGTAACAGAGTCGTATAAATAGGTGTCTGTTTTGAAGTGTTGATACCGACTAATTTCAAATCGGACAGCTTCCATCAATACTAGATACGCTGGCTTCGGTTTGGGCATTTTCCGGACACTGCAATGATTATATAGGCTGCTCCAACACTTCTACTTCAGTCACATTTACCTTTCCCCATGGATCCTTCAAACATAAGAGAGAAAATCGGTCGCTTTCGAATTCTCATTATAGGAAGAGCTAATGCAGGAAAAACTACCATCCTACAGAGAGTTTGCAACACGCGGGACAATCCACAAATATATAACAGCGCCGGGGAAAAGGTGGGCATCACATTGCTAGTAGGCAGGGGTACTGACCCATCAACATCAGATCGACCTTGAAGTTCTAACAGCATCCAAATCGGTGAGTTGTGCTCTCAGTTTATGACATGAACTGACGTGCTCTCAGCGCGAATTACATGATATTCACAATGAAATGGTTTTTCAAAGCAACCCGGGCTTCGTTTTCCACGATCCACGGGGTTTCGAGGCAGGCAGCCAATCTGAATTCGACAAGGTCAAGGCATTTATCGCTGACCATTCCAAGGAAACAAAAATAACAAAACGACTCCATGCTATATGGTAATTGCAACCAGTCGATCGCGACATGCGCTATCTCACGGTTTCAACATAGGTACTGCATCCCAATGGACGAAGCAAGCAGGTCGTTTACTGCAGCTGAAAATAAGTTTTTCTCTCAGTGCGACACAGGAAGCAGTAAGTTTTTGCATCCCACCCTCATTCACATTCGACTGATGCGCATGATTACAATCCTCAGTACCTGTGATCGTTTTGTTTACAAAGTTTGATGCCCTATACGACGTCGCATACGCACAACTGAAAAAGGAAGGAAGATCTCGGAAAGATGCTAAACAACTGGCCCAAAAACGCGCAGAAGAAACATTTGCCAATGGAACACAATTGAAGTTTCTCCAGAATGTCCGATGGCCTCCAAGAGGTCACGTATGCCTTCCCAGTAAGCCGGTCTATGGTCGAGTTCCGATACATGATGACCGTTGATCCATCAGATATGAACAAAGATGATGCAAATCCAGGGCCACTGATCGAATGCACAGCTGGAGCTTTGGATGATGAAGTGCTGGAGCGATTGTTCGTCTCGACCCAGCAGACGAACTTGGAGATCTGCATGATACATGCAATTGAAAGGTAACTACCTATGGCCTCATTCACCTGCCGCAAGTGTTAGCGACTGATGTTGTCCAGCACACTCCGAAAACATCTTGAGACAACCGCATCTGAAGGTCATGAGACGATGATAGGAACCTTAGGCGGCTGGTTTCCACATATTCAGGTAAGATTATCGGAAAGTTCAAAGGTTGCTCTCATTTACTTCGGACCTTTACTTGCAGGCAGTACGTGTGTCAATCCTCGTGTGAGCAAGAGCCATGCTGATCCAAGTCGTTGCCTATCGTTCGCAGGATGTGAGTGTGTCGTTCCTCGTTCGAGCAAGCCATGCTGATCCATCAATAGGACGTGCTTCGCGACGATCACTGTGCGGTGATACAGTCCAAGTTACCCTCTGTGGTATGTCCAATCAGTGGCAGATTGCACACACGTCTCATGTTGGGAATCTGCCAGGCCTCTGGCTCATCAACTTTGGAGAACATGGTTCAGCTCATTTCCGGTGAATTTTGAGGCTGCGTTGCGATGAAGCTGCTTATTATTGACCGTTTAGCTGCTGTCATTATCTTCGAGCACTCTTCCTATATTTTCGACAAGCGGCGCTATCTTCAGGACAAGCGGGAGTCGGATCCCTCTTTTTATGTCGCTCTGGAGCAGTACATGTCATCTCCGCATGCAGGTGCTGTCATGAAAGGTGTGAGCGATACCGTTCACGCTTATGAAAAAGCGGTGGCTACTTCCGCGAAGGAGAATGAATCTTCATGTTCTCCGGCGAAGGCGCAGTTAATCAACGCTGTTATTGAAATCACTTTGAATCATCGCCTGCGTATGTTTCGCCGTCATGTTATCGCAGCAATCCCACTGATCTACTTGTCTTTCAGCAAGACCTTAATGCAACGCAACGTAGATGGTGTTCCGAAGTGGAGCAGAGGTTTCTTAGCAGTAAATGTGGGTTCCTTGAGAGGTCTATTGAGGTAGTTTCAGGAGATGAAACTGTGCGAAATGGTTCACACAATATAGCGCTTTCCCGGTTCTTTGAAGCATGTGAGTTACGCTGAGAAGGTGGTGGGATCTACTGGGCTTGATGTACCCGCGAAGCGTTCTTTGTCCGATTCAAGTGCTTTGAGGTCAGGTATGTTCTATGTACCATTTTGCACCACACCCTATCTCGACTTGAACAAATCTCGATCTTTCGATGGGGTCGAGTAATACTGACAAGAAATCGAACAGCTGTTGGCGTCGATTTGCAGTCGCGCCACGCTAAAATATCTGTGACTGCCTTCGTAAGCCGGACATGGAGGGACGGACAAGTCTACCTTACGAGGTGAACACGCATGGTAGAAGACATACCAGCTGTGGGTACCATCAGAAATAATACACCCCGTCCGCGCCACATTTTCTTTCCCTGTGCTACTCCCTCCTGTATATCATGCTATAACAGCAGATGCAGCAGGTAAGTATAACCCTCCCCTCTGCCTGGCATGCCGATATCCTCAGCCACGGGCGCTGAGACATTTGACGAGGAAGACAAGCACGAAGATGCATGTCGTCGAGTTGATGACGACGGGTATTAGCTGAGTGACACGAACTTGTTAAGCCCCATGTTTACTAACTGTTGCTATGTGGGAGAGCGAATGTAGGGAGTGCTTGTACCCTCCCGTGGACGCGAGGGATTATGTGGACTTGTTGGTGCCGTGGGCAAGCTTGCTCCTTAGAGGAGCTGAGAAATGATTTGTTAGGAGCGAGACGAGGGCCTTGGGATTGGGAGTGCCCTCATGGCCGGTTGTCGCCTGCGTTAAAGTTTGGGTGGATAGTATGGATGGAATGGAGCGCACAGCAAGATGATTGAAAGTAAGGCGTGCTGCCTCTTCGCTGATATGATATCCCTAGATAATAGTACTAGTTGTATATCAGACTTTGGACTACTACTTACTAGATTACTATACAGATGAGTCGTGAGTTTTCAAGTCAGGCTGTAGCTATTAGTAAACCTAACTTACAATAATACAACAGTACTAGTGTATCATAGGCTACAGTGTTGTGATCGGTCATAAATCCGCTTACATAGTACAAGCTTGCAATGTTTGCAATCGCGTCAGCACTGAAACACCGCCACGCGCAAAACCATCCGGGAAAGAAACAACCGAGTGCTACGACTTCTCGATTTACCATGGTTCGTCCGACGACAAATCCACAGGAGGAACATCTGCCCGAAGTTCAGATATTTGTGCCCCATTGATCTCGTACTTTTGCATCACTTCAATGATCTTATTCAAGATTTCGCGATCCGGGCGTTCTAGGATGTTCAATTGCTCATCATAATCTTGAATGCAAGTAAGGACTTGTCCGCTCGTTGGGGAGGCGAGGTAGGAAGTAACCGCGAGCTTGATTGCCCTAGGAGTGATGTCCTGGCTTTCTGACACGATAAAAAGCGTCTGCAACACAAGCGTTAGGTGAATGATGTAGGCCATGAAGCGCCGAAGCACCGGGCGGCTGACAAAGAAGTGTCAATATCCTTTCGAATTCGTACACGAAAAAAAATAGTGATGCGTACGATATCTGGTATACCTCGTGAACCCATGCGGCGAGTACGGCACCTACTGCTATCGGTACTACGATGGGAGCCGTAGGTCCCGCCAGGTCGGACACGATGCCCGCAATAGCGCCCACCATGGATAATGGAGTCCTGTAAACATTCAAAGAGATCAGAATTTGTCTGTCACGTAAAAGACCAGCCTACTTGATGTTGGTGGGATCAGCTGTCGGTCCAACTTGTATGTTATCGACCACGGTCGTCATCAATTCCCTGAACTCTCGACTGTGCAAGTACTATGCACAAATCACGTTAGGGCGGGTGCAACGACGGTAAATAAGATGCCTATTACATGATAAGGGTCATGGAAGTTCCACACATTGACGATGTCAGTGTGAAGCACATCTAGACAATCCCACATCTTGCGATTCTTGAATGTTGGGGATGACGCAAGCGTATTCCAGTATCCTGCAAGACATTAAGATTTACATTGTGTTCAGTAATCATGAACGCGAAACTGGGACAGACTTTTCTTGCCAACTCTGATGCTGGGTAAATCACGGGATAAGAATGAAGCAAGCAAGACTCACTCGATTGATGCCTTTATTTTGAGTCCAGGATCCACTCGCTGAGCGATGGAGGTCATCACCGCAGTCTCAGGCGCAGTGGGTTGAGTGATGGAGGCCGTCGCTGAGGCCTCCGACGCGGAGTGCTGGCCGACACACTTTTCAGTTATTTGGATCAGGTCGGTGAGCGTCTCTTCATAGCCTCCTTCGGCTGTAATACTATGCGTCAGAGGCACGCATAAACTCGTCAAAGTATTGATACACACTAGAGATCTTAGCGCTGGGAATATTAAGCGCTGCAAATTGCTTTAGAGGTCCAATGCAGGTTTCCTGCAGCCAGGCTTCCGCGTTCTTCTTGGCGCGTTCCTTGTGGTCTTCGTCGCTCGAAAAGCTTCCACTTAGAGTTCGCTCCATGCGTTCGATGAGCATGTCGTACTTAGTAAGAACGACGATAACGGGAACTTGGACGTAGCGTGAGCTCCAATGTAGCAGAGACATAGTTATCGATTCACTTACCATTTTCCAGCGTTACACTGTTTTGCGATTCCAGGAATTTCTCCACTCCAGTCTCTAGCAAACGTCCGCCTGCACGGGGTATCTCAAAGCAAAGCCTTCCATGTATTTGGTCAGTCCACCATAACGGAATGATCGAGATAGAATCCCTACCAAACGGCATGCAACTGATCTTCCGGAGGCATTTCCCTCCGACGGTCAATGAAATCTTGGACTTTTTTGAGGTTGTCTTCGTCCCCTGGTTCAAAACCTTTGCTATCGTGAAGAACAAACTTGTTGTTCCGAAGTGAGATGAACTCTTTGTTGATGTCAGCCTGGCCTGGCTTATCGTGCGCAACGATCTATTGACAGCATGAGTAGCTGTGCTCGTTGAAGCGTCGTGTTCAGCCCACCTCTTTTTCTACTCCAAATACCTGGCTGATCAGCGATGATTTGCCGACGCCAGCCTATTAAAAGCATGTCGTCAACACTAGCCTGGGATGGAGAAAGCCAGATACCTTTCCTATCACTAGAATTCGGAACCTTGGGAGTATTGACCTCAAGAACGGCACTTTACGATCATCATGGCTCACCGAGGACAGTGCTGAAATATTTCGACAGTAGTAGGCTGAAGGCTTTGATCAGGAGAGACGGACTGCTGTGTTATTTGTCTATGATTTAGACAGGTTCGATGCCAGACGTGGATCCTTACTTCGGCTGTTGTACTACTGGAAAGTTTGACGACGATCGTGATGTTGCTATGGACCTTGTTGTATTCTGTGCATGTGAGGTTGAATTCGCGAACGATCAAGGCGAAAATGCAATGATTCTTGTTTCACCTTGTTGACTTGCATTATATGCACGGGACATGTCATCTGGATCAAAAGTAATGTTTTCATGACGACGCTTGATTCTCAGAAAATGTTTCTTGTGCCGTATATGTAAGGAAAATGATTCCCCGTGAAGAAGCACCCTAAGGCAACAAGGAAACAAGTCAGGTGAGAACATGAGTTGGAGTCGAGTACTTACATGGGTGAAGAAAATGTGTGTCGCAAACTCTTTTCTACTTTGTGTTCAATTGGCGAATGTGAATCGCCAATTCGCAATTCAGCAGATTCTATGTTCGTTTTCGACTTGCTGAAATCGACGGTGATGTCTATTGGATATATTCAGCGGGGTTGATGATAGCACTTGACGACAAGAATTGAGTACCATGGATGTAGAGAACCATTGAGGGGTGAAGAGCATTAGCCATGCTGATTTTGATTTGGGGAAGAGCTCTTCTCTGAGCTACTTTATCTAGAACAGGCACCTATTGTGGGTCACAAGAACAGGCTGGTATATAGCTCGCGCACGATAAGAGCTGGGGTTAATTATAGTCGGCGCTATTACTAGTACCCTTCGGTCTCTTCATCAAGCTCTCGAAAACAATGTACAACGTACGTGATGACAAGACCTCGTCAACTGCCGAGTAGTAAAACAGCAGCGGCAAAAACGTCTTAACCACGAACAAGACAACTTTCTGGCGCTCGTCAACGCCAACGATGATTAGTTTACACCAAAGGTGCCGGCTTTAGTGCTAGTGCTGCTGCAGGTCCTTTCCAAACTGGACTCATGGTTCAGTCAAAGGTCAGTCATTTCTCTTGTGATGCGTTCAGGGTTCGGTGATTTCCTGGTGCAATGCCGAAAGGGAGAGAAGGAAGGCGTGGTCGAGGTATATATCCACGAAGCCGATGCCGTCAACTGTTCCATGAAGCGAACCATCCCGGGGTCTTTGAACCAACAGGGTGCTACAAAATTACAAATTCGCACGTGAGTTCTCTTCTCCGCCTACCCCACAGCGCCCATTGGCAGGTAACACTCCAGCAAGCTCTGGCGCCCTATCTGCAGTCTGCCGCCTTTTGAATCTTCTTTTCTTCTACAAACTCCAGTGAGCTCCAATGGCCCAGATCCTTGTGTGCATCCACATGCAATGAAAGCAAGTCCGGCGGGGAAGCCGGCCACGAGTAGAGAGCACTTGAAGGTGCTGTGGCACATTTATTTTTCAAGCTTGCTCGCGTGAGTACCATCCTTGCCAACACCTGCTGCCGTGCGCATGTAAATTCCGGCCCTTTCGTGGACGCGGATACTTGCATTGACACAGGCGCTTGCACCGACGCGAACACCTGCGCCGACGCGGATGCTCGCACTTATGCTCACACGGATGCCTTCTTACTACTTTTGCTACTAGCCGTCTCATGTATCCCCTCCATGCGTCCCCTTGCGGGCTCCTGCAATTTAGGGATTCAGGGTTCACTTTGGTGCGTCGCATTGACTCCTACTAATGTGGGACTAGCAGCTCACCTCGGCTCACTCTTGCACGGGTCGGGGTCACTATCGGGGCCCTGCTTGCAACCAAGCAGACATTTTTCTCGTCCTCAGTAACACAGGATTGTAGGTTCTTGAATAACGACCATTTTTACCTCGAACGCATGTATGCACAAGATCCGTTCCACCATCATGATGCGGGGCATTGTGGACCCGAAAGTTCTCATCGCGAACATTGCAAGAGTCCTGTAGAAAATCTAGATGTGGAGATATGCGAAGACTCAACCGCCTTCGCCGCGAAATCACACCTGAGGCCTGAGACCTGGAGCTTTGAAGATCTGAAAGGTCCATATTTCGATCAATTACATCTCCAGATCGACACCTGAACTCTATACCAGTCTGTCATGATCAATCAATCATTTCTTATCCTGAGAGGCTGCCTAGTAGTGTCGTGGTCCCGCTGAGATCATAATGCATTTTTGTACCTCCGACTCGTTTCAGCTCATGATGATCTGTCTAGTTGGCAGTTAACAAAACGTCTAGATGGGGTGCGGCATATCCTCTCATCAATTATATCATCCAATGGCGCGCATGCAAGTGATATTGGAAGCACGAGATAGATATAAGTCGAACATGTATTTTTGAGTGATGCTATTGGGTAGCGTAGGATAGAAAAAGAAATGTGCGATGATGAAAACAGTATTTTGATAGTGCAAAAAAAACGTACTCGGTCCGTCTGCTCAGACCCGGGGCTTCGTGGCTCGTGGCCATTTGAAAGATCGAGATGGGCCTGTTGATCTAGTCCCATAGCTTCAGAAAGTAGATTTCGAAGTCCCATGGGTCTCATGAGTCTCGCTGGTCAGGGACTTGGTCGATGCGAGGGAGCATGGAGAAGAGGATGCGAGCAATAGCTTTGGCATCTGCTAAACGAGACCGGGTCAAGTTCGATGATTCTAGGGTGGTATGTCGACAATATTAATTCTCACGGCGTCCGTTGCTACGTCCAACCTAAGCAAGCAGGGACCGTTGAGAGAGCACTGTGAATAGACGGTGGGTACCGTTTCTCCATCCCCTGATTCCAGCGAGCGGACGTGTAGCCAACTTGCCATGGCTTCCAAAGGACGGTTGTTATCAAGTTTGAAGCAGCGATGAGGAAAGTCGAGCTGCAGGGTCCGGAGCTGAGTAAAACAAAAAAAATTGTGTGGGGTCAGGGTCAAAGAGCTGCTCGCGGGCTTCCCGACCGTTGAACCAGGGGAGGTATTGAATGTTCTGATTCACCTTGCAGTTGGAGAGCGCGCGACAGAGTTGCTCGGCCTCTGTCCAAGGCAAAACACTGACTTCCAGTGCAAACTCTTTTAGCGAGGGGAATTCTGATTTGTGATAGTGGATGCAGCCGTTTTTACATAGAAAAAAAGACCTGTGAGGTTACGGAAAGGTGTAAAGTTGGCGGTGTCCTGTCCCAGATTAAAGGCCGATGAGGAGGCTCGCATGGCTCACTGTGAGGAGGGTAGGGAGGTTGGAAATGTGCTTCCATGCTTCCAAGTTGAGAGGTGAGCAACACAGTGTTGCAAGCTGCTTGCACCAATGGATATAGTTAGACAGCGACAAGTGCTCCAATTTTGAAAATGCTTGCTGCTTTTCACATGCACACGAGCAGCGCGACGCAAAAATTGATGGGCATCATAATGAAATAATGTCTTGAAAGGACCACTATAGGTACTGCGTCGAGATGTTTCGCCGTTCGTTGAATCAGCAATAGAGCTCACCGTGACAGGACGCACGGTTTCATATGTTGTCAGATTGCACAGTAACGCACAGTGGGCACCTCTCACCATGTTTACGGTGCTTACTCACTGGCACTCCTCAGTCGACCCAGACCCTAGTATCAGCAGCAGCTTCAGGACAACACGTTTCGTTCATGCAAAGGACAACCAGCCGGTCGACGTACTTGGTGAAAGAAGAACTTACAAATCCCGGCCCGAAGTACTTTCAATGTCCTCTGGATCGTTTAGGAATTGATTGAACTTTTTCTGTCCACAATCTACAGAGATAGATATATAGCTGATCGAAATCATCGATCAACAAATGATCGATGAATCGTCCCAAGTTGTTTCGCTGCCGGCCATTTAGAGTAACTTGCACCCTCTAAACGTTGGACTAGTGCTAGAGATGAGATGAGAGACCGCTGCTGCGAAGGAATGAGCTATGCTACTACAGGAACCGTGTGCATGTGCGTATCGTCTGACTAAGCTGTGGAAACCTCCGAAAGCCTAGGTCTCTGTACCCTTGTCCTGGGACCCCTGGTCCATGCACCCCCCTAAAAAAACAACCGGCGCCGGCCTCGACGCCACTCTTGATCCTATTCCGTCTTCTACTCTCCTTCCGCTTCGCTATCGTTCTCTTCGTCGTTCTCTTCCTCTTTTCCGTCTCTTTCTTCATCGTCCTCTTCGTTGTTATTTTCTTCATCTTCGTTATCTTCTATTTGCTCTTTTTCCTTATTTCTTTCTTCTGTCGTATGTTCTTCGTCCTCCTCCGTTTTGTTTTCTTCTAATCTTTTTTCGTGTTCCTCTTGTTCTCTTGCTAGCTCGGTGCCTAGACGCGGTGTGAAGGCTCTCAGTCTTCTTGCACTGAAATCTCCCTGTAACGGTGTCCCCTTCAGATTTTCTAGCGTGTATGAATTCCGTGCTCTTGCTCGCACTCTTCTTGGGACGGACCATTTCGGTATAAGCTTCCTCTCCGTTTTGAATGTATAATCTAAATCGTTACGGTAGACCTGAACCAATTGACCTATTTTGAATGTGACTTCACCTGGTGCCCGTTGCAGTACTCTTTTATCGAATTTCACCTTCCGCTTTATGGCATGTCGCATGACTTCGTCGTATCCATCTAACCTCTGTTGTTCCACGTAAGCTATTTGTGCTAATGCTTCTGATGAACGTAGTGTTGATGTGCTTTCCTCTACCATTGTTATCGGGGTATTAATGACGAGTCCTAATAGTAACTCCTTTGGTGAAAATTTTAGTGCCGGCAACAGACGATAGTTAAGGGCGTGGACCGCATTATCGATGTGGTCCGGCCATGACTTAGGCAGTTTGTCCCATGCTATTTCCTGCTGTTGATCCTCTCCTATTTCGGGTGCGCACAATCTTTTCAGTACGTGTAATAATAGCTTGTTCGTACCTTCTACTAAACCATTGACCCAGGGCGAGTATGCCGCTACTGTGTGCAACTTACACTTTCTTGATTCGCAGAACATTCGTACAGCGTCGTTATTGAAATGTTTGCCCCCGTCCGCCATGAACGTCTCCGATGGTGTGAATGCGCTGAAGATATTAGTTAAACTGTCGACCGTGGTTCTTGCGCTACCCGCCGATTTATACTTGAATACCCAAGTATGTTGCGAAAACGTGTCGAGATAAACTCCAAGTGTGCTATACCCTCCCTTCCCTTTCGGGAGAGATAGGTAATCCCCGACTAAGAGCTCGAATGGGTGTCTCCTGGTGATGGGTTCAAATAGTGAGTTTATGTGTGTCGGTCCAAAATTCTTGCACTTAGCGCAGTTCTTAATAGCTTCCAAAATCGACGCATCTAACTTCGGGCTCCATATGCTGTCCAGAAGAGCAATCTTGATAGCGTCCCTCCCCCAATGCCCGCCTTCCAGGTGCGTTTTTGCCGCTCGTGTCTTTGCTTCTTCTCTCGATATACATTCAACCTTAGCTCTGGCTCTTGTCGTTGTTCCGCCATGTACTTTCCAGAGCTTCCCTTCTTCTATGATGTATTGGGATGCTCTATGCCTTGCTCTCTTTTTCTCCCGTACGTCCTTATCTTGATCCAGATTGTGTATTGCGTCTACGACTTCCAAGAAAACTGGTTCTTTGTCGAATCGTTTACGGAGATTGTCGATTTCCGTATTGACCAATTCCACGTGCATGATATCGTTTGCTAATCCTATCCTTGCTTCCCAGTCTTCTTGTACCGTCCACTCGCTCCCGTCTCCTTGAATGGGTTGCGTGTTCTCCCATTTCCTACTGAGGCCATCAGCTACGACGTTTAGCTTACCTGGTATGTGTCTGACGTCCACTATATGATATGCTAGAATTCCTTCTCGCCATCTAGCGTGCGCCACATTCATATTTGGATTTAGTAGCGTGTCCTTCATCGCGCTGCAAT